TTGAGGAAATTCCACATTCATATGACGAGGACCATTCGGTCCATAAGACAGCCACGAATAACCGATGAACACTGATTATGATCTGAACTTACGGCATTAAAATTGTGAGTTGAGGACTTGCTTAACCATCCACATCCAGCTGGCAAGATATGTATGTACATATGTGTAAGTATCCATAATATATTTTTTTTTGGGTTAGATCGCGCAAATATATAAATGTGTCGTTAAACCCACCACCACCCGACACTTCCAACTAGCAAGGGTTGTCACGTAAACAGAACGTTCCAATTCGTCACTAGTACAGCACTAACCGGTGTGTTGGAGAGCTAAGCCACAACATTGACAATCTGAGTACGACGTTTTGCCAGTAATTACAACTAGCTTCATCAGGCGACAGCCATATTTGTGGAGAAGTCTTACTGTTTCGTTCCTTATATAGAGGCGGAGATGTGGTGACCACGCTTCTGCATTATGCATGCGCATTATGCGAGCCCTTTGAATTTGTCCTTCCCGTCTATTGTGTGTATTAAAATAGCCGTACCAATGCTAATCCCTATTGAAGTATGCTGCCCTTTGTAGGCATGCATTTAAATAATGCATTATTTGATTATTTACTTCCACGCAGCACTATGGCGGTAGCTATCCGAACGGTTAAACTTATTTTTATTTCTTTAAATTTCGATATATTCTCTAATTAGTCTTGGCCAGTAGCAGCTAGTTTTGCACATAACTTCAACATTATCAAAATCAATGCTAGATTTGAAGCTTTCGTGACTGCAAGGATTCATACTCTTAGTTCTTTCGGTAAAGTGACTTTACCGAAAGGACTAAGAGTATATTATCAAAATCAATTGAGTGTCTTTGTTGGCACGCGTGTTCTGCTACTGCTGACATTTGTATTTGGGAGAATAGAATATTTATCTGATGTTATTTTAGTCTCGTGCTGATCATTCGTCCTGTTTGCCCAACGTAACATTTACCACACGTGCAGTTAATCCTTTACACACTTTCTGTTTATAGCTTCGGTAATACATCTTTTGTACCAGATATTAATTTCTGTATTTTATGTACCGTGCCAAATCTGACTTGGATGTTTTGTTTTTCCAAACATCTGGCTAGTTTATCAGCTACTCCCGCAATGTGCGGTATTTTGATCGTTTTAATAACTTGGGAAGTTTCAATGCTCGTGCTATTTTATTTGGTTTTGGCTTTCAATGCCCTGTTGATTTGTGCATCATTGTAACCGTTCATTTGCAACGCTTTTTTTACATGTTGAATTTCACTTCTCAGACTGTCACCATCTGACACTTTCTTAGCTCGACGGATGAGCATCTTGATAAGAGCAGATTTCTGTGCGGGGTGATGGTGTGACTCTGCATTCAGATATGCGTCTGTATGCGTTTTCTTTCGGTAAACACTGTGTGTTATTTTACCATTTCGACCCCGTCCGAGCAGAATATCCAGAAATGGTAGAGTTCTGTCAGCTTCCACTTCCATGGTGAACTGGATGGATGGGTTTTACGAGTTAAGATGATTTAGAAATGCGTTCAGTGTATCTTTGCCGTGTGGCCAGACCACCAATGTATCATCCACGTATCTAAAACAAGCAGATGGTTTTAGTGTGCTTGAAGCTATTGCTGTTGTTTCTAAATCTTCCATGTACAAATTCGCTATCACAGGAGACAAGGGAGTGCCCATTGCTGCTCCTTTTTGTTTATAGAAGTCACCTTGCCACAAGAAATAGGTCTTCTTTAGACAGTGTTCAGCTAGTCTTCGGATATCTTTGGCTGAACTTTTTTTCGTTACTAGTGTCGAGTAATTTGATTAACCTGTTGACCGAAACCCTCATGAACAGAGAAGTCACATCAAAACTTACGAGAATATCATTAGGGTTAAGCTTAATATCTTTGATTATATTTACGAGATGTTATGAGTTTTTGATGAACGAAGAGGTCCTATCGATGTAGGTTTGTATTTGTTTCGTTACGTATTGTGCTCATTTGTACGTGGCAGAGCCTATTGCACTAACTATGGGTCTTAATGGGACATCAGGTTTGTGAATTTTTGGTAGCCCATAAAGTCTTGATGGTTTTGATGCCCTTGGTTTGATCAGGTATTGCCCTATTAGGGATGATATTGGTCGCGACAGCCGAAGTGTTAAACATGTGTTAGTATGTCGAACTATGGGGAGCGGAAGTGTCGCGGTTAGCACGCTGCGCTACGGCCAAGGTCAGCGACGATTATCTGAAACCAGTCCTGGGCCCCCGCTAGGTCGACTCAGCCTAAAATGAGTACCTCGTGTGGTGTGTAAACATCGCTACGCGGGAGACAAGGGCGGATGGGCGTGGCCACCCACCCGCTCGTGTGCCCTTCTCGCCTTCATAGGTGCTCGCTAACAGCACTTGGCCCAAAAGTCTGTTTGCGCTATACGGGGGATCTTTGTTTTTGTTTGGTATGTTGAACTTCTTTTGCGCTGTACGTAGCCAACCGTGCTAATCAGATGTGCGGGGGAAGGACAACAAACTAAACACAAAACAATCAGTTCTAAACCTGCAGAGTATAGTCACCGATGCTCATATTTGTAAAGGGTGCTACTGAAAAGTCCGTGCCATGCAAGTAAAACATTGCGTCTCATTGTCAGAACTGAGACTGCACATTTTGAAACGTGCCCTACAATCTGGAAAGAGCCGGGTGTGGGTGGCGGCATATATGCATTCCAACATCTTAGGAGACAGTGCATTTGATGGATACATTTAGGGATGATATCCATCATGTTGACGAATCACTTGCACATACAAAGAGAGAGCAGTGTGATAGTGCCTGCAGTAAGCAGGCACAGCGCGATTGTTGCTTGAATCTAACATCGTAAAGGAGCGTGAATGATGTAGCCTTATATGAACGGGTTTTGGCTGGGTACAACATTTTCCTACCACGTGCGAAGCTCTCATTAAAAAGGAATTGGCCAAACATGTCAATACAGGGTCATCCTGAAAAAAAGTGCCGAATCTCATAAAAAAAACCAAGGTGGAATAAATGATTAATAATCGGTGTGTGTCGTAAAGCCTCCTCCACCCGGTACAGCCGATTAATAAAACAAAATGGCACGTGAATCAAACTTTGCCAAACGTATTGCTTGCTTCAGCATCAACACCGCCGGGCGTTGGAGGAGGAATCGCAGAACGTTGGACCATGGGTACGAAGTTGTGCTCGCAGATCACATCCAGAATCCTCAGCTTGACAGGAGCTCACATCTCCTTGCGACGTTCTACTTTCATGCTGCAAGCCTCTTTTACAGATATCTTGCCAGCTGGATGTGTACAGTGAGACAAGCAATCAACTCACAATCATCGTTACACAATGACCTAAACCGAAGGAAAAAAAACACGATAATGAATCATGCTATTGGTCGTCAAAGCCTACTCATAAAATGAAGAGAATAAATAATAATAATACGAGGTTTCTAAATATATAATATCGGACAATGGCAATGACATGTACGGTAACAATCCACGAAATCAACAACTGTGTATATATGAAAGCAGGTTTCATTTGGCCATTTCTACTGTCTGTGGGATGCTGAAAGAATGCAGCAAGAGGGTGTGCGTGTTTATGCGTCTGCGTATGTGTGTGTCTGTATTGATATGTGTGTGTATATGAACGTGTGTGTGTGTGTGCATGGGGAGTGGCAGTGCACCGGTTAGCACGCTGCGCTATGAACCCTGGCGACCAGAGTTCGATTTCCGCTCACGACCGACGCCAGTGACGATGATCTGAACTGGCTCTGGGCCTCCCCTGGGTCGACTCAGCCTCAAATGAGTACCTGGTGCGGTGTGAAAACATCGACACTAGGGAGACAAAGGTGGGCGGGCGTGGTGCTGGCCACCCACCGCCTCGTGTGCCGTGCCGGCCTTCATATGTGCTCGCCAAAAGCACTTGCCCCAACAATTTATACGTGGATCTGTGGTTTTTTTGCATGCATGTCTACATGTGTTTGCAAGTTTCCACGTGTGCAAGTGTGCGTGCGTACGATTAGAACGCCGCGCTACGAACCCCGAGTTCGATTACCGCTCAAGGCCAACACCAGTGACGATTATCTGAACCGGCTCTGGGCCTCCCCTAGGTCGACTCAGCCTCAAATGAATACCTGGTGCGGTGTGTAAACATCGCCACCGGTATGGTGGTGGCCATCCATCATATTCGCTCGCTAACAGCACTCTCACCAACAGTCTATTAAGGCTATGCTCGGGAACCTTTGTCTTTGTCTTGTTAAATGTATACGTGGAGCAATGGTGTAGCGGTTAGTGCACTGCGCTACAAAGAACCCTGGTGGGCCGACTTCCGATGTTCCCCACTCACGGCCAACAGCGGTGGTAAATATCTGAACCGGTCCTAGCTGGGCCTCCCTTAGGTCGACTCAGCCTTACATTAGTAACTGTCGCGGTTGCGCCAAAATCATTCCCCCGGGGTGACAAAGGCGGCCACCGCAGCACCCCCATCGTGTGCCGTGCATGACTTCTTCTTCTTAGGTCGAAGGCACTCAACAACCCGTCGAAAAACACGCGGCGTGCGTAGTAAGTGCGCACACTGCGCGCGTTTCGCCATGGCGATGGCGAGCGGGGTGTGTAAGAATCAGCGTGCGGGAGTTGCGAGCAAGGACAAGTGAGCATAAAGGCTCGGGCCGTGGGTTCTGATCCAGGGCAAGGCGCGTCTTATTCATTCGGCGATGACAAAACCCACACTCGGCTGTGTGTGTGAGAGAGAGAGGGGGGGTCTGCATGGGGGTTCACTGTTAAACAGGCAACTGGGCTGGGTTGAGGCTTTGTGCGCTGTTGAGGTGATGTGTGAGGGAGGGAGAAAGAGGAGGCGGAGGAGGTTGGTGGTGGTGGTGATGGGGGTTGTGGTGGTGGTGGTGGGAGGGAGGGAAGCAGTGTGGGGGAGGGGGGGTATGTGGGAGGAGATAGAGTCTATAAGGAGCAGCTCTTGCAGACTTGCCTCTCAGTTGTGTCGCCCTCAACGTTGCCGTGCCTCTGTCGGAGAGGCTACTCCGAGCATTGCTGATCGCGTTATCATTACGACTAACAACAGCAGCAGCGGTAGTAGTAGCATTGCTTTACAATAGCCCCCCAGTAGTCGATGCAGAGTTTGTAGAACAGTTAGCAGAGCAAATCAGTCAACCGCAACTCTCCGTATATAAATGTTAAACAGTAGAATTACATCATATGACAACCGTACCATCCAACTTGTGCGCTTTAATACCAACGCAGAGCTCAACAAACCCAAATCAAAATTGAGAATAATCTGACCTAAATAAACCGACCAAGTGCAAAATAGCCTCATCAGTAACTGTCACTTAACAAACAAAAACCGAAAACCCCACGCGTATTAAAGCGACGCTATTTAATAGAAAGAGAAGCGGCAAGAGCAGCAGCAGCGGCAGCGGCAGCAGCAGCAGAAGGCGGCGTTGTGCGTAGTAGCTAAACAATGCTGCCCATGGGAGTCCCAATCACCTGGACTCGCATGGCACTGCTAGTCTTGTGCGCCATGGCCCCTAACCGAGCGGGCAGCCCCTGGGCTGCTACCGCCGCCGCCGCTGCTGCCACATCGGCCGCCGGCGGTGGTGGCGGCGGTGGCGGTGGTGGTGGTGGCTCGGGGCTGGTTCACTGCGAGCCGTGCGACGAGAAAGCCCTCGCTCAGTGCGACCCGCCGCGGGGCTGCGAGCTGGTGCGTGAGCCGGGCTGCGGCTGCTGCCGGACCTGCGCGCTGCTGGACGGGCAGGCGTGCGGCGTGTACACGGAGCGCTGCGGCTCGGGGCTGCATTGCTCGCCGCGACCCGGGGAGGAGAGGCCCCTCCAAGCGCTGCTCGAGGGCTCCGGGGTGTGCAGATCGCGCCAGCATCCCCATCATCACCACCATCAGCAGCAGCAGCAGCTGCTGCAGCACTCGCCGCTGCAGTCGAACGCAGGTGGGTGGAGGAGGGCGGTGGGGTTGGTGGGTTCCGTAACGTGTGGGGGAAAGAGTGAAATCCGATTGAATTCCGATGGGGGTTGGTGATTTGGTAGGTCGTATATTCGAGATTCGGTCTCTGTGGATGTACGCATGCCTTTGTATGTGCGTGTGTGTGTGTGTTGAACGATGCTAATCGGAGGTGCTGGGGAAGTACAACAAACTGAAGACAAAAGAAGTTGTAAAGAAATGAGTTTTCAATCGATATTTATAAATAAAAAAAACTCAACTCACCCACTAACTCACCCGCTCACGCTCATTCGCCCACCGAGTCACTCGCTCACCCGCTCACTCAGCAGCGTCTTCGCGTGTGGATTTGGGGCAGTGCCAAGTGACATGTCCCACGGCTTTGAGTGAGTCGCCCGAACCACGAAGTGTCCGCATTTGCTGTGGTTCGTGCCGAACAGGTTAACAGCTGCCCTTTTGTTTCCGTGGAAGATGGAAGCCGGGCCAGAGTGGTGGTGGGTTCGCTGATGAGCTGTGTGTAGTGGAAGCCGGACCAGTGTGGTGGTGGGTTCGCTGATGAGCTGTGTGTAGTGATGTGTTTAACTTACGATACCATATCATGTGATGCGAGTGCTGTAATTCGGCGCGCGTTAACGCTTGCAGGGAAAGGCGTGTGAGTATTTGAGTGAATGATTCACGATTTGCTCACATGCTCTCTGTGTGTGTTTGTTTGTGTATTTGTAGAATATTTGCATAGCAGAGACAGCGAGCACTGACAGCACAGACGAGGCCTTGCTGTCGAGATTAGATAAGACAACACGAGAGAGAGACAATCCAGGCGAGACTGGACGACACAGTGGGAGCGCGTGTCGTTCAGAGTATTTGGCTGCTATATTTGAAGCTTTCGTGACTGCAGGAATCCATACTCTTTGGTTCTTTCGGTGAAGTCACGTAGTTAGAAATAAAATAAAACAAATCACGACGTTTCGATCGCAACACAAGCGGTCGTCATCAGCCACAAGCGGTCGTGATCAGGCGTGTGTTGCGATCAAAACGTCGTGATTTGTTTTGTTTTATTTCTATCTACGTGACTTTACCGAAAGAACCAAAAACTATGGCTGCTATACATTTCCACATTAATAAACCACTTTCTTTGAGCTATCATTTGTGGCCAGATCGCTTCTGACAACGAGCTATGCAGTATATATATATAGAAAGCTCAGTGAGCCTTACCTGGAAAGTTTAAAAATAGGTTTTTTTTTTTTTTCAAGTGAAACAGCACGAGACAGACAGAACAAAAGAGGCAGCGCAGACGAGACCAGTGCAGACGAGGCACAGCACGCACGGAACAGCACAAACCAGACAGTACCAGCCAAGACGGAACATTCGAGTCAGGCAGTACAACATGAGCCGGGCAGTAGAGTACTAATGCGGACGGTGCAGATAACGCAGTACAAACAAGACAACGTTAATTGTTGTTTCAATGCAATCAGTGATCTCAAATCGTGCCTGTTCATCAGTGCCGCGGTGGGTATATGAACGTGACGTGCTTGTTAATGAATGTCGATGCCGCTCGGTGTTGTCGCCGTCTGTGACAGTGATTGCTTCGTTGTGAGGGCTGGCTTACAGGAAGACACAACCCAAGAGACAAACAGCTGCTGTTGTCTAGTAGATGCACACCTGTTGCGATACGCCCTAAGTGTCCCCCACGCAGAGGCAGGCGCGTGTTAATGCGACGAAAGACGTTGCAGCCACGATGACGTACGTCACGATGACGTACGTCATCGTGGCGCTCTCGTGACGTCACTTGCCATGTGTGTGTATGTTGAACTTCTCTCGCACCGTGCGTAGTCACCGTGCTCATCGCGTGTTGATAGATCGGCGAAGGGTGTCGCTAAAGTTGCTGCGATGCAGTGCCTTAATGTACGTTTCGCTTACCTATCGCCTGTTACCGAAACTGCCATGCTGTCACGGTTATCAGCGGCATACACCGACACTGCGTTTGCAATCACGAGGTTCACCGGTTCGACTCAATCTCCCCGTTCGCGACACTTGAAACGTTCGGGCAATTTTTAGAAATCCCCGCCTCTGTCCACCCAACGGTGCACAGTAAATGGGCATCACCACAAGATGAGTCAATCGGCAGGCGGCGCGTGGTCGGTTAAGGTGTGTGTACTCCCACTTCCTCCGAAGTCGTCTGGCCAGAGTGGAGAAGCAGGCCACAATACTTCCGCGAGGAGCCCTCTAGAGCAGTGCTCTTCACTCATTTTCAGAGGGTGGCGGGGGGGGGGGGCACTTTTGCCGATAAAACATCATCAGTGTGAGGGCCGCCACACATTTGCAACCATTGGGGTTTGACAGCAGCTCACCACGTGTTGTGTATTGTCAGGGGCCTGCATGTCAAGGGCCGCACTGAAGGCCACCAGGAATCGCCAGTGGCCCGCGGGCCTTGCAAAGAAGAACGCCAATCTAGAACTTTCTCTCACGGAGGGCCCTTCTGCCAGAAGTGGCTTCGGCAAGACACTGCAGGGCCACAACCTTCATTTTATTAACCCACTCATATCTGGGCGTCTCAGGACACAGGCTCCCAGTGTAGTTATCTGCAAGGGCCCATGGTGTGTTGGGTTGCATTGAAGAAGGTAGATGTGCCAATCCAGGTTCACTGTCGACTCAATAAAGCAATTATGGTTTTTCTTTTTTGTAAGATGCCAGCTTGGTTCGACTGGGCCCTGCCACAAATGTGAAATTGCCACCGATGACTCAGGGCTGGCAGGGGAGATGAGGATCGGCGAAAGTTCGTTTGAGCAGGGATAGACTTTTTTATTTTTTGGAAATGTATCAAGTCAAGGGAGCGCATGGCATCACGAACTGCGACATTAAAGCGAACGCACTTGAGAGCCCCACTGGCAAATTCGTCGATACAAAAGTCAAGCCGAGTAAGATCCCCCCCCCCCCCCCCATCAATAGATAACTACTCGATTTACTTTTGAGATAACTTTTCCTCCACGGAATTGGCCGCCCGCCAATTAAAACACGTCAAAGTGTCCCCTTCCTCAATACGAGCATGGGACGGGGCACGTCATCGGTGCTGGCACAGAGCCAGCCCTGTAGAATACAACACGTTCCCACGGCGCCGACCTGCTTCTCTATAGGATGACTCCAGTGGGGCTCGTCACAAAGTTTGAGCATTTTTTTTCTTGACCCCAAGAAGGACGATGGGGACGAGTCATCATCATCATTCCTCTGAAACCTGGCACGCTCCTAAAAAAATGTACGCTCAGAGCCCCTTACCACAGCGCCACCTGGCTGGATTGTGCCGATATCCAGCAATAAACCTGGCACCCGTACAGCCTCTTAAGGCAGTCCACCCCTGGGACAGGGATCGTGAGCACGTTTGACCATACTTCACCACGCTGGTCAGTGCGCGCTCGTCGATGGCGGGGGGACGTGTGGAAGAGCAATGCAGCTGACTGCACCGCCATGCACTGGCACCAAACAAGCCATAAAAACCGGCGTTGTTGTGCGCGGTCGTCACCCATCTAAGCGCGCACCAGGCTCGAACCCCGCTTAGCTTGCGAGGCGCGGCGAGACCGGGCGCATCCCGGGTGGCTTGGTCGCAGGGAATTGACCCCAGAAGGAGGCGCGTGAAGACGACCTTCGCCACACGCATCACGACGCGCGGCTCTCGCTCACACGCACAAAGGCAAAGATCCCCCGTGTAGCCTTTACCAGACTGTAGGGTGGCAAGTGCTGTTAGCGAGCACCTATAAAAGCCAGCACGGCACACGAGGGGGTGGGTGGCCAACACCACGCCCGACCGCCTTTGTCTCCCCAGCGACGATGTTTACACACCGCACCAGGTACTCATTTGAGGCTGAGTCGACCTAGGGGGAGGCCCAGGACCGGTTCAGATTTTCGTCACCGGTGTTGACTGTGAGCTGGAATCGAACCCAGGTCGCCAGGTTCGTAGCGCAGCGTAGCGCTAACCGCTACAACTACCGCTCCCCTTACAGACGCACACAAAGATAAAACAAAGATCCCCCGTATAGCCTGAACAGACTGTAGGGGCAAGTGCTGTTAGCGAGCACCTATGAAGGCCGGAACGGTACACGAGGGGGTGGGTGGCCAGCACCACGCCCGACCGCCTTTGTCTCCCTAGTGGCGATGTTTACACACCGCACACACACACACAGACACACACACACCGCAGGGCAGGTGGCAAAACCAGGCCATGGAGTAAACACCGAACCCCATTCGGCGGACTTCAGTTTAAACCCGCCGGGGTGTTAAGGGCAATCACAACAAGCCCCTTTTGGAAGAAAAAAAAAGGTTCCGCTTGCGCCCAGCTTGCCGGCGCTCTCGGTGCGCGCGGGTTCACGCTGCTCGGCTGCTCTTTGCGCGTAACAGAATGCGCAATTGATGACACAACCGTTGTGTTACAACAGCGAACCCCCGGTAACCTTTGCACGGTCCCAGCGACGTGAAAGCATCCTTGCTATGAAGCGAATGCGACACTCTGCTGCGCCCTCTGCTCAGGCGGAGTAAGGGGGAGGGCCTTTGTGAGAAAAGTGATCGACTGCGACGATGATTCCGAGCCGTTTCTTTTTTTGTTCATCCGCTCTGTGTTTTTATTTGCTTTGCTTGGCATGTGAGTGAGACTCCGGCGTGTCGCATTAATGCGCTGCTATGGGGAACTGGAGTGGTTGGCACCGTGGCTAGGGCTGAATCATCCGCACTATTCCCGTCTGCTATGTGGATCGCTTCGCGTGGTGAGTGCGGTGGCCCCGAGGACGCATGGTCAGGGGGCCTCCTCACCGTCGCCCACCGTCTCTGCGCGGCGGTCAAAATGGGCACCACTTTGTTCGAAACCATCAGTGGCTACCCTACACAGAGACTCGCACGGCCATAGAGTGGCGGGGGGCACGAAGACATAATTGCCCCCCCCACCCCACTGTGCCCCCCCCCCCCTCTGCACACTCATTTTGAGCAGAGAGATTGCTCAACGTTGAACTCACCCCCAAAACATTAATAATAGGAACAACAACAGAGCTCTGTGATAGTAACGACAATCATAATTACTTAATTACCCAGGAAAGCCAACACTGATTCCGAAGACTCTTTTTCAGGATGGTCCCACAGTGGAATTTTTTTGGCCAACTCCAATTACACTGTGACGGAATGTCAACTTCCTCGCCCGGTATGCAGGAGGTCATGGCTTCGATCTCGATTCCGATGCCTGCTGTATATTTGGAGTTTACATGTTATCCCAGTGGTCGCGTGGATTTTTCTTCGGGTTCTCTGGTTTTTCCCCCCAGTTTTAGAATCATGCATTTAGAGTATTTGACTGCTATACATTTGCACATGATGAGCCACTGCATTGGGCTATCGTGTGTGGCCAGCTCGCCTCTGCAAAAGAGCTGCATTGCCATCACGCGAACTCGGGTCACCTTCGCAGCGGCTTGTGTCTCGCCATCGAACAAAGACGGTCGGTCACTGCATCGCGCGCTTGCAGATGGGCTTCTGCGGCCGTCTGGAACGCTCTTCCTTCCGATGTTAGGAATCCACTGGAGCAATGCGCTTTAAGAGCGAGATTGAGAACTCATTTCTTTAGAACAGATTTTTGTGTTGAGTTTGTTGCCCTTTCCCCGCACCTCCGATGAGCGTGGTTGGCTACGTACGGCATGAAAGAAGTTCAACATACACACATATAGCTCAGTGGGCCTTACCTGAAAAAATGTAACAAAGTTCGTAGTTGTTGTGTGTTTAGTCTCCAACGCACCGGTATGCTGAAGTAGTAACTAATTGGCACGTTTTGTCTTCGTGAGAAACCTGTGTCGGGTGGTGGCGACTTAACGACACGTTTATATTTACGCGATATAACCCAAAGAAAAGAAAAAAACCTTTACCATGGACAGCATTGGTCGCGAGAGCGTGTCGAACCGAGTCTGTCGTACAAACGTTCAGCTTGCGCCGGGGAAAGCCGTTGCCTCTCGGTGCCCTGCCCTCATTGCCGACGCTCTCCCCCACCCCCCCCCCCCCCCGCAGACGCTGGCGACGCGAGGGACGATCCCTCCCCCGCCGGGCAGGCGGAGGAGGCCCCCGCCGGCGAACCCGCGGATTCCCCCGTCGTGCAGCCAGGGCCCAGCCGCCAGCGCCCGGCGCATAGTCACCACCGCTCGAAGAAGGAGCGCTACCGCGTGCTGGCGGAGAACACGGCCATGAACGTGCACTCGGCCGAGGCGAAGCAGGACACCGAATACGTGAGCGTGGCGGGGATTCGGGGTTTCGGGTGGGAAGGCGTGGAAGGTTCTAGATTTGAAGCTTTCGTAACTGCAAGGATTACGGTTTTTTCGGTAAAGTCACGTAGGTATAAATAAATAAATTACATTATAAAAAGAAATATTACAAAATTAAAATTATACAAATAATAATAGAAATAAAATTACAATTAATCACTTGATACAGTAAATCTAGCTGTGACGGTCCCACCTGATGACGGAGACTTGTGTTGCCTCCGAAACGTCCTGATTTTTTTTTCTATTATTATTTCTATGATTTTTATTAGTTATAATATTATATTTATTTATTTATTTCACCTACATGACTTTACCGAAAAAACCTAAGAGTAAGGTGTGGAAGGTTGTGTGTGCAACGAAAATCCACAAGGCCGAGCGTGTCCGCGCTCGTGCATTGCGCGTCGCATCAGCGTGCCTCGTCGTCACATTGGGGTCGTGATGATTCCACTGTCACGTGACGTGGATCGGCGTCCCGATGCGAGTATTTGGCTGCTGTACATTTCCACCTGATAAGCCACTTCGTTGAGCTGTCATTTGTGGCCAGGTCGCTTCTGAAAAAGAACTATATAGCCCAGTGGGCCTTACCTGGTCAAATAAAAAATAAAGTTGAATAGTTTATAGTTACGATAGCCCCTGTTGATCACTCACTGAGTGATACTCGTGTTGCTAGCGCTGGGGATATGAAGCCTTAACTGGATGTGGTGACATCTATCAAGTAACTACTATAGTGTTCACGCACGCAACATTACAATTCCAGGTTTCATGGTCAAACTGCAATGTCAGCTCACTCGTTTCAGGCTCTTGACTCGACTTGTGCTCCTCACTCCCTTTTAAATTGTGTTTCCCTGTCGACCTCCAGCAAAAAGCCCTTTGCCTCCCCCTTCATTCCTTGTGCTGCTCTACTCCGGAACTCATTCCCCTCCTCGTTCTTCCCACCACCTGATTACAACTTGCAGTGTTTAAGTCGCCCGTCGTTCGGTCACCGCTTTGTGATCCGCGTCCCAGTGAGTTCCTACTCAAGAGCGATAAGAGGATGCTCATTTGCTGATTACAGCCCTCAGCTGAATAGTGGAAAGTCCACATTGCCATGGCGAGGCAAGTGTATCAATAGGACAACCACTGTTAACCTTTCAACACGGATGACACAGTCAAATTAACATTCTCCCGTATCGCACGGGGTGGCGCTACTTTGTCAGCAAATCGAATCAAGTGTCGAAACTTCAACATTCCAATGGCATGGCCCAGACATTCCGTGACTCTCACGAGCACCGTCGACTTCCCGCAAAATCGGTACTCGCTTTAACGGCCACCGGGAGGGATGATTGGTCGCCAGCGGTGTGGCCCAAGCGAGATTTCAATTTGCAACCAAACAAAGACGGCACGAGTGTCACGCACAGGCGATGCAAAACCCCAGCACCGCAAAGGTCAGGAGAAGAAATGCGCACGCGCTAAGTGTAATGGGATGCATGCGTAAAAATACACCCAGGGGGCTATGGGGAGTTGCTGCGATGCGCTGGGGTACGGTTCCTACCCTTGTTGGTCTCTCTCCAGTCTGACCGACGGCGGCAGTGAGGGCACCTACCCCGTGCATGTTCCACGCGGCATTGATGAAGATTACGAGAAAATGATTTTTTTTTTTTTTGCCGAGTCATCGTTATCAATTTGGCCGGCTGGCTCTGTGCTTGGAGCGTCCGACTGACAGTTGGAATGTTGCGAGTTCCAATCCCAGTCGTGATGGGTGGTGGCTCAAAACCCATCATAGTATAGATTTTATTATTATATTGACCTGTGAGGTATGATGGGTTTTGTCGTATACTTTTGATCATGCAGTGTACTATACATTGTATTGACCTGTGATGTATGAATAGTACTTAGCTGTTTGCAAATGGACTGGCCCCCAACCATAGGAATGTGGCATTTACATCACTGGCTTGGCATCGCCAATGTACAGGGTGGTCGTGATGTTTTGTGACCCCCATTTGATTATCTAAAACTTAATATTTTTTTAAGTAAGGTTTATTTAAAACAGAAAAGGACATGCAAATGGATAAAAAAAATGTTAGGGACTAATTAACTTGGGTGTGCCGGGACATCTGGACTACCCTGGAGATTTGTATCACCCCACGCTCATTTCAGCTGGAAGATATTTTCAACAATCTTAATCATTAAAGTGAATGCTCATCAAATTCAGGATTTGGGATGAGGCGTCACAGGTACAGGGATGCAGCCACGGTGTAATTGTTAGCGCGCACAGGGCTTGCAATCCAGAGCTCACCGGACAGATTCGACGATCTCCGGACTCGGCAGTTGAAGCAATGTGGCAAGTTTCTTAAAATGACTCAGAGAATCCATCGGCAGGCTGCGTGTGGTGGGGTAAAGCGTGGGTACTCACACCTCTTCCATGACATTTGGCGAGCATGGAAGAGTAGGCTAAGTACCGTCTGGAAGGGGCTATCTAAGACTCCTTCCAGCAGATGCCCTCTCTCAAGCAGTGGCATTAGCCATCTATGGCAGGGCTGCACATTTACCATTTGCCATCATTCAGTGACCGACCGTTGTGGATTTTGCACGTTCAGATTTACATGCTGTGAGAATTTGAAACGACATTTCACTCTTTAGGATATTTTTTGACCAATTCCTGAATGAGCATTTTTCTTTGCACGTGGGGAAAATAAAACCGGAGTACTCACAGAAAACCTACACCTGCAAGTGACCAATAGAGATAGATCAACAACCCCCTTGCTGTACTGCCTCTTGCAGGCACATGTTCGTCTACCAAACAGGCGAATTTTTCCAAGCAAGCCACAACACTTCAGTGTGCAGCCACCTAAATTATCGGGAGTGTTGGCCAACACCAGATGCACACATTATGTGTATCACGAGTGGTGGGCGAAAACAAATCTTGAAATGCCCAGAGAAAACCTACACATTAGAGGAGATATCACTCACTTCATGTGACAGTTGCCCGTCGGAACAGGAGTCTCCCAGCATGTGATGGTCTCTCTGCGATCCACCAAACCCCGTATGACTCTTGCAAAACCGAACACCAAAAAATATTCTTTGGCATTTAAAATTACTTTAAACAGTTGTAGCTGACCAGCGCCATCTTCAGTTAGTGTTGCAAAAGGGGACAGTTTGTACATTGAAAGACAATTGCAAGGTCAAAAGGATCATTTACGGCCCTTCATCAAGTCACCACTCGACGGAAGCCTCCCCACGCAGTGTTAGTCATGGGGGGTTGGTTGACCATACTTCACCACGTGGTTTGGTGTCTGTTGGTAAAGGGGGGGGGGGGTGATGGCGGTTGGGGCAGGACCAATTTGGTTATCACTGACGAGTGATGAACAGCTGCTGCCTTAACGCCTTTGAAGGAGGAACGGACGAGACATCCACTCTGCGTCTGAACAGACAATCGAGTGGATATCAAATCTAAAGTTGCATCTTTCATCTCCTGTAATGAATCCATACGTTAGGAAGAAGGGATGAACCTAATTTCGTCAGGTTCATCGCGTAGTGCGCTAACCACCGCGCCACCGCTCCACCAAAATAACATAGGCTTATTGATTTGCAGAGTAACGTACTTTATTAATCTGTATACCTTTGAAAAAATGTACATACATAGGCAAAGGTGCAGGCCTGCAATATCTTGCTCACGCTGCTGCTGGCGAAAGGGCCTCCACTAAAGAGGGTGGTTTGGCCTCCTCTTCCATGCCGAATATAGATGTGCATGTGTGTGTATATATACATACACGTTTTAAAACACATCAAGCGGGACGTTTATTTTAAAATGTGAGTCAACCGCTCTCTCAACAGTTGAGAGAGAGGCCTCTATTACTGTACTTGGCATTACCAAAGGCAGGTACTGCCATCCTGTACTGAGACTTTGCATTCGGTGTGTAATCAGAGTACCCTCGGCATGTACCGTCTGAACACTTTATCTTCTTCTTCTGAACGCTTTGCTCGTTAGAGGTCACGTCGCAAACCGACGCGCGCTGAGAAACGGCGATGCTCGCAAGACGCTAACGACCACGCGGTCACTTTGCCACGCGAACACGCTTTTGCAGGGCCCGTGCAAAAGAAGGATGGAAGGCGTCATCAAGCTGTTTAAAGAAACGACTTTGCTCAACCCCAAAGGCATCTACATCCCGAACTGCGACCGCAAGGGCTTTTACAAAAGAAAGCAGGTAACTTGACGAGAAGACCCTTCCCCTGGGAGCAGGTGGGCTCACGTGGTGTCTCTTGCGTTGAACTGTTGTTTAAAAGTCGACACCAAAGAAGGCCTCGCTGAGTTTTTGATGGAGGGTTGGTCCCGTGTTGAATGTTTAGACACGGTGGATGGCAGCAGCAGAGCAGCATCGGCAGCAGCGGCATCATCACCTTGAGCAGCATCACCTTGGTCATCGACTTATCATCATCATCATCACCATCACCTTCAGCAGCATCACCTTAGCCATTGACTTATCATCATCATCACCATCATCAGCATCGCCTTAATCATTGACTTATCATTATCAGAAGTAGTAGCTGCATGGCCATCTTTAGCAGCAGCAACATCATCATTAGCAGCAGGTTCAGCGACACAATTAGCATCATCACCCACCCTCAGCTACTCCCAGCTATGCACATATAAATAGAATTATACATATCAATATAAATGTATTTAGCCCATCGGCTTATTGGCTTTCCAGACCAATATTATCGAGCGGCATTCGTTTAAGCGCCTGGGTCTTATTTACCCATAAACACTGATTCATCATGTATGTGTGTATGTTGAACGTCTGTCGCAACGTACGTAGCCAACCGAGCCAATCGGAGGTGCGGTGGAAGGACATGAAACTAAACACCTTCATATCAGCCGCCAGTGGCTGATAGCGCCTGAATGTATCGAGGAGCGTGGCGCTACGGCAAACGTTGGCGCCAGTTCCCACCTCGACGTAGTTCCTCGCGCCTCTGAGTCGTCTCGCTGTTCAGGAGCGAGCGGACACCGTGCGGGGGCTTCACGAGTTGACGAACTAAAATCTCTACATCATTTCACCTCCTTTGCCAGTACCAAAATATAAAAATAGGGTTTTTCCCCTTTTTTCTGGCAACAAAACTGAAACCTTTTCTTTTACAAGGAATCATGTCTGCATTAACCACAATACTTGTGGTCAGAATGCAAACAAAAAACGTAGTCTGATAATGTATGCATTGTCCTTGAAACTGATTGGTCCACACCAGAGACAGCTTTCTTTTCAAGCCTCGTCTCAAACGTTGCTAGTCCAGAGGACGACAAAAGGCGTACAGCCCAAAGACAATGCACTATCAGAGTAATGAGAGCTCGGGGTGAGCATCTACATCATGGGACCTCCTTGCCAGTACCAAAATATAAGAATATTATCAGTGTGTTTTTTTTGCATTCTGACCACAAGTATTGTGGTTAATGCAGACATGATTCCTCGTAAAAAAAGGTTTCAGTTTTGTTGCCAGAAAAAAGTCTGCCCAAGAGCACGCCGCGTGCAGTGCACAACAACAACAAAAATCCTCGATTCCAACGACCGATTCGTCTTCGTCGAGCAAAAACATTCCAATTCAATGAACAAACGAGCAATCAAAGGGGAGAATGAGTGAGCGGGCACGGTTGCTTTAATTCCTCACGATCTCACCACCCACCCACCCCCCACCGTCTGTCTGCTCGGTGCCCCCGCGTGCAGTGCAACCCGTCGAAGGGCCGCAAGCGAGGCCTCTGCTGGTGCGTCGACCGCTACGGTGCCCACATCCCGGGCTCGGAGCACGTGGGCGGCAGCCAGAAATGCCTGGGCGTCGTCGAGAGGGACTGAAGAGAAGGAGTGAGGAGGAGGAGGTGACGATGACAACGGCGGTGGTGGCAGTGGTGGTGGTAGTTGTTGTGAAAGTCTTCGGGGGGGGGGGGGGCGGGAGGGGGCACACACAAGGACAGTTGTTCAAATGTAGAGAGCAGGAGAGACTGAGGAGCCGGTTTTGGTCGATTGAGCCTCAAATGAAAAGAATGGTTCAGCTTCACACCGGCGCCCTCGACCGCACTACGCTACTTTGGTGTCAGCAGGTGCATTTTGGCTTGACTTTTGTTGACTCTTTTATTTCCTTGCAGCAGCATTGCCTTCACACCCCCCCTCTCTCTCTCTCTCTTTGCTGGAGTCGATCAGCTCTACATTTGGTGCGCGACAATTTCGTTAATCCATCGGTCGGGACGCTCGATTGACGAGACGCGATTCGAAACGAATTGAAGTGATGTTTGAGGCTCACAATGGCCGTGTCAGTGCATTGAGCCAGCGCTGCTGTGATATTTGATTCGAATCTGAGCAACATCCAGTGATCATAATTAAAGTTTTCTAGTCTCGTGAAGTGATGGTAAGAGCTGGTCACTGAAGACTGCACAAAAACCGATTGTAAAAAATTGTGTTTTTGTTGTGTTGATTTAGCATAGCCCAGAATTGCCTGCTAACATGTTCAAATACATCATAAGCTGTCGTTGTGTAATGGTTAACACGCTGGACAGAGGTCGCCGGTTCAATCTCCCGGAGTGGCAGCTTGAAAGTTGTTTTTTTAAATCCTGTCCACCCAGTAGCATAAACGGGTACTCCTACGGTTAGTCCATCAGTAGGTCAGGTGGGGTGGGGTAAAGTGTGGGTACTCTCACCTCTTCTATGAGGTGTGGTCAGCGTGGAAGATTAGGCCAAAATACCCTCCAGGGGGGCTCTCAAGAGCTTCCTCAAGTGGAGGCCCTTCTACCAGCAGGGCAGTGAGAAAGTAATTTCAAGGCCTGCACTTCACCTTTTTGCTGTATCAGGTGATTGATTGCACGTGAAGCAACCCTGTTGCAGAGCGCGAATGAGCGCCATCTGTGAGTGGATACGAGGCAGGGGGAGGCCAATCGGAGTGGCACCAGACGAGTTCATCGGCTGCATCTCCCAGGGCCCGCTCTCCGAAATGACGCAATGCTCCCTGCTGACTGCAGGAATTCCAGGGGGGACAGGTCTTCCTTACTTCCACGACACACTTCTCATGAGTTACGATGCAACTGGTGAAAAATAAGGAAATGAATGGCAGCCTCAAATGTAGCCACTGACAGCCGAGGGGTTTGGAAGATCAGCATTTTGGAAGTTGAACGTCTTTATGACATTTGGAGAGCGAAGGGTTAGGAGAGAATTCAGTGTAGTTTACAGAGACGCTGTTTCTTGAGTAAACCTACAATGCGTGCCATAACTCAGACACAACCTGTGCCACGCTAGGTTGTCCTTCTATCCTCTGCAATGCAACGGTGGGCAAATACGCCGAGCGCTGCGATGATATTTTTTGGTGGATCTCAACGGGCTCCACGATCCTCCACTGAGCTCTAAGATCGACAGCTGCCGCTGGAGAGTATGGCAAAGAAGTAGCGCCATCTATCGGTATAAATAAAACATAATTGTTTCATGTCTGTATTCTTGAGTCGGGGGGGCAATTTTTTTTATTTGCCATCGGCCGGAACAAGAATTGTTGTACCCTCGTCAGTGCCGGATTAAGCTGGTGCGGGGCCTGTAGCATATGTTGTAAATGGGCCCTAAATAAAATAAAACACAAATATTAAAACACAATGTTTTTACTTGCACAGTAAAGTAATTGTGTTTTTTTTTATTTGCTATACAGCCAGATAATACGACGAATCGCTCACCTTAAGCACCCAGTTGTTTATAAAAGTTGGAGGCAGTATATTACTATAGTAATAGAGCTAGTGCAGAACCACTGAACCGGAATTGATAGCTTGAAAGCATTTAGCGCGGCGCCCTTGAAAGCGCGGGTCCCGTAGCATCATATGCAGCTACTTTTGCCCCTAGGATATTCCGGCACTGACCCTCGTGTGAGTATTTGTTCCGAGTTCCACGACAAATAATTTCGCGGACAACGTATTGGCCACCACCGCTGCAATGCTCGTCACTCCGCAGGTATCCTTGCGATTCGGCACTTGCATTTGTACATTACCAACACGGTTCCATTGTGACGGTCTATATCCACGGTAAGCGTTACCACTGCTGTTAATACACACAGAGAACGTCACTTATAGGCTCTACCGCTTTGGGTCTCTGTGGCAAATCGATTGCTTTTTTCAAAAGTCAAGTCAAAGTGTCCCTCTGCTCAGTGGAGCATTGGACAGCGCACATTGCCATTGACAGCTCTGAGCTCATGGTGGCAATTCCACATTGCCACGATACGGGAGAGTCTCTCCACAGGGCAGTCGCTGTTGACTCCCAACGACAGGATTCATGTGAACGATGGGCTTAGCTCACTCCCAAACCGGATTTGAATTTGCAACTATTAAAGAGTGTAAAGTTGAATGCTTTTAAGCAGAGTGAATCACGTTTCACCACCACTCCTCCCACCTTGCCGTCAAGTCCTTACAGTCATTATCAGACTGTAGAACTTTGGCTTAATGATAAATGGGGGGGGGGGGGGGTGCATTATATTATTAATAACTAAAGGGGGGCAGGGCGGGGGGGTATTGGAGCTATGGGGCAGAAAGGCTAAGAGTGGGATGAAGGGAGAGTGTGTTTGCGGCATAATCGCTGAGATGGATCTGACGCGGATCGCTCACGCAGAGTGCATAGGTCCGAGATTATTAGGAGCGCCTTTTAGCATTTCACGATAATGCGCAGAAACACTATTTCTAAGTCAATCTACAATATTATTAATGTTATTAATTGATGCAAAAAATATTTTTTACAAGCCGCTGCTGTTTGAGTAGTGGTGCTGGTTCGAAAGAGGCTTGCATGAACCTGCACATTGTGTTTTTTTATATTATATTTTGACAATGATGTGCAAAATGCGGATATAGTATTTCCACATTGTTGTAGTGTCTATAATGTTGTTTTAAAAAATCGCGGACTTTTTTTTATCACGATTAACCCAAGTTCCACACTCTCCACCTGTCTCAAACGTTGTACCACAAAGTGCTATTTTATTTTGCTGTTGTTGAGTTATCCATTGAAGATTATTCTTGACGGCTGTGCTATGGCATAGATGCTTTCGCATATAACAGAGGAAGCGTCCCTGCAGTGTTTTGAATAGCAAGGCATTAGGCCCCTATACTCGTCGCCTTGCTTCGGCTGGCGTCCTTCCTTACCATTTAGGTTGTGGTAAAAGACACGAGCTGGATTACGAGGCCTGGATAATGCTTATGTTAACACAGTGCAAATATCTCCATGCTTAATTGGCCGTCGGGTGATGCTCATCTCCATCAAGTGGCCCCCGATCTCTAGCAGTGGGACTTGTACATTACTATGGCCGGGGCCAGTATATCCACAGAACAAACACTTGTTGGCTTCCCATAAAGTGCGACTTTTTTATCGACCCTGGAGGGACGATGGTGGGCTGAGTTGACCCATCGAGTGGGATGCGAGCTTGCAACCTTCCAATTGAGTCAACCCGGCTGGGATAACGTTATTTAGCCACTGGCTGTAAAACACAGGACGACAGGAGAGAGAGGTGTTGCGTTAGGATGTGGATCGAATGCCACTGCACGTTATAGTTTGCATCTGGTTGCAAACAATTAATAAGGCGCATGTTTAATTGTGATGAACACGATCGTTATGTTTTGCATTTTTTTTTAACCAATATGAACGATGTAAAATATGTCCAATAAAACCCGTTTCTCTTTTTGATCAAAGTGTGTTGGCAACTGGGTTCTGTTTCAGCTATTGTACGCGTTCTGGGCAGCTTCATCGATTCAGTTGAGTTTTGTCAAAGGTTTGCAAAAAATCTTGGCTTCAGATCGTACCTTTCGATGCTTCACTTTCACAACCGCCATTTCCTGCGGGTGAAATTTATAAGCCTCCCCTGTGGGATGCTACCGTGGTATAACGGTCAGAACACACTGGGCCTTGCAATCAAGAAGACACCGGTTCTTTTCGATCTGCTGGTACGGCAGCTGCCAAACGATGGCCTAAGTTTCTTGAATCTCCCTGCCTCCGTCCACCCCGCAGTGGTTGTATAGACACAGTCGATCAGGATGGTCGTGCGTGGTGGGGTAAAGTGTGGGTACTCTTGCATATTTTCCAAGACGTCTGGCCAGCATGGAAGAGTAGGCCAAACACCATCTTAGCTCCCTATAGTGGAGACTCTACAACCCGCCCACACCTTCCCCGCACTCACACTAGCAATGGGCAGTGCTCGTGGCAAGTAACGTGGCTCTGAGCCAGAGTTGAAATTGCACATTATGATGTAAACCGGTCTCCAACAGCACAAACTGTTGACTCCCCGCAAAAGTGGTGCTTTACAATCATCGGCCGTGCAGGAGTGACTGAGTCCATCTCAAATGGATCTGAGAACTAGCAAACGACTTGCACCACGCTACGATGCCAGGCACATTGCCCCAATTGCAATCGGCACTAAAAATAATAAGCAAGGAAATTGACGACTCGCAAGAATAAACAAACAAGTCCAAGAAGTGGCTGCAAATAAAATTGGATTGCTTTACATACAGTAGCAACAGCAGGCATTTACAAAGTAACATCTAAGCAATGTGGAAGGAACTTTAGTGAATACAAAAGGATATAAATGCTTTCATAAATCACTTTGCACCATTGTGACATGCAGCAATCATGCTTTAAGTTACATTTCTCTCTTTTTAAAACATCGGAAGTTTTTTGTTTTTATAACATAAATAGTTACTTCGATGCAAGACCACATTTTTTGCAAAAAAAAAAATCTATGGGAGTGTTTTGTGTGTGCGTATTCAACAAGCCAACATCTCACTTAGAAGTAGAAAACCCAGCAAATCTAATGTTTCTACTGTAAACATTTTCTTAAATTTTTGTTAATTTTGTCTTCTATGCAAACCCTGCATTTAGGCAAAATTGTAAAACGCTATTTTGGCTGTCCCTAGATGAACACTCACATTTTACATTATCTGATGGGGTTTGTTAAGAAGCAGGTCTTCGACAAAAAAACATTTTCTGGATACTGTTCAGTAATGAATCTAGCGTTATAATACGTACAGTAGAAAGGTCACGATAGTTGGAATGCTGATATCAGCAATGAGGTGTCCCCAATGGTGGCTCTGAGCCAGTCGGTGGAAATTCATCGTTTCCATGGCAGGGAGTCAGTTTCTCCACAGGGCAACCACTGCTGAAATCCCAAGAAGTGGTGGCACTCACTTAATGAACCCCAAAATGAATGAAGGGGCTGAGTTTTACCAACAACCCCTCACCCATATTTGAACTCACAACCTTCTGGACAGTCCAACATTTCTACCACAGAAATAATCCGATTTTAAAAACAAATAGCAAACACAAGTTTTATATCGTGGTGCTATGCTTTATATCAAGTACAATGTGCATGATTATGAATGTTTCCACTCGATGAATCCCATTATTTTCGATGCGTCAGATCAAAATAAATCATTGGCAGTTGGCATGCCCCGTTGATCTGAACCCATTGCCTGATTTATCAAATGTGTGGCAAATGTACCGATCAAAGTGGCGTGTTTATTTACCCTGCTCACTCTCTCCCCTCCTCTCTTCCCCTTTTGCCCTGACTCCCAGTAATGATACAATCCAACGTAAACAAAAAATCCCAACATCCCACGTAACAACACCAACTTGTGCCCCAACGCAAACCGCAAGACATTTTAACTGCGAACCGTTGTCATTTAATGTGCGGGGTAGGCGATGAGTTTAAAGCCATATTGACAGTTGATTTCTTTTTTTTAAACGAGTTGCCATGGCAAAAGTGTGGGTCGGCCCTAGTATGGTTCACTTTGACAGCCGCAGGGCTAACCTTAGCAAAGACAGTTAAACACATAAAGTCATTGTGAAAATCTCCTCGGTGGGGTGAAAGTAAATCTGACGGGTTTTTTTGCATGCGAGTGCTGTTACGAAAAATGACATTTGATCTAAGCGAAGTTGTCCTGTTTCACCGAACCAGCCAGTCATATGATACGCGATGAAATAAAGCTAAATGTATGCTTTCCTTTTATTCCCTTTTAAAACAAGGTTTGCTTAGCATTTCCTGGCTAAGGTGGGGGATTGTGGAATTCATTCACAGCGTCGTGAAATTTACCAAAATATGATGGGGGAAAAAAAAATCTGCTTCGTTTAAACCATATTCTTATATTGTTGCTGCTGCTGTTTTTGACAATATTATATATATTTATATTTCCATCAATTTGAAGAAAGTGCAAGGTAGGGAGACTATGCATTTTAGTGTATCAAGAAGAAAAATATCCATAATAACTGGTACTAGAGCAATCTGTAAACTCGATGGTGTTAAACCATTAAATATGGATTAACACAATGCCACTTTTTGTCCTACTACATCAGATAGTTAAATGAAAATCATGTCACTGGCATACACAAATTCTATTACTTCAGGTAAACAAACACAAGAGAAAACAAAAATCTTTCAGATTTTTTTGTCACATGCATAAATAAATAAAAATCCCCCCCCCCCAAAAAAAAACATCAGCATTGACCATTTTAAATAAATTACACCATACTTACCACTTTTACAAAGAGCACAACCTTTTTTTGTATATTTACACTCTGTATAATTTTACAGCATTACCATTTTCAATATAAAAAGTTTTTTTTCGTGGGATTTTCGTGTGTGTTTTTGTTTGTTTTTTATTTGTTTTATTCATTTGTTATCTAGCAATCTTATAACAAATACAGTAAGGCTAGTTTTGCACTGAGATAACATCCAAAGACAAAGGTGACATTCAAGTACTGGGTATAGACTGCCCAAGTAAAACGGAACAGGGTAAAAACAAAGCAAGCCGTACCCATTTAGAAATCTGCGGAAGCCTCAAAGAGCAGCAATTGACTTTGGCACCATTTGCTTGGTACTGTAATGAATGATGAGTCATCTTGCTTGGAGCGAAGTAAATGATCAATCCATACTTTGCTCCCTCACCGCTATACGCAACAAAAGACCAAGGTCCTCTATTTAGCCTTACAGATCATAGGGGCAAGTGCTGTTAGCGAGCACCTATTAAGGTTGGCATAACACACAAGGCGGCGGGGGGCGTGGCAAACGCGATGTCCCACAGGCCAGCATTTTTAGTCGAGCACACTAATGACTAGACATTCATTTGAGGCTGAGTATACCTAGCAGTGGGCCAGAAAAGCTTACAATAATTCTTGTTATCATGGCATGGAATTAAACCCAGGTCGCTGGGATTGTTGCACAATGAGCGACCAGTACATCACCGTGACCGCCATAAAATCCTCTAAAAGGGGAAATATTTAATCATCGTGAAGTTTTACAAAATATGGCTTCGTGACACTGGCTCACAAAGCCGACACTTATAAAAGATATCACCAGGCCAAGCAGACATCGTTACTGGCAAAAGATAACCTGAAGAAACACAATGTACAGACGAATACAGTATAAAATTATTAAACTACTGTTGGCAGAACACTTCATTCGTAATCAGAAGGTTGCGAGTTCAAATATTCAAAAATCCTGGTTGAGGGTTGGCACTGTTCACACAGCCATCCGGGGTCGATTAAAAACAACAACAGCCACGACATATGGAGTCAACGGCGATCGTCATCGGGAGACAGCGGGCAACGCCATAAAAAGGTAAAAGTGCAGTCCTGCACTGGCTGCTGACTGTGGGACCGCCATAGCAAAAGCGAAATTTCCACCACTGGCTCTTGGCCTGCGAATGGAGATGAGCACTGTTCCATGGGCATTGGCAGTAGATGCTGCTCTGACTTGTCTTAACCCGATGAGAGACCACAACTGAAATGCTAACCACCTAAATTGTTCCTTGCTAAAACTCAAAATGACGCAATGGCTTGTGACACACTGCCTTTTGCGAATTGGCATGAATTGACGATGAAACGTTAACCCTAACCCCGATTTATGAAACCGAAAGCTGCGCCTTGGAGATGAGTTTGGCGGAACGAGCATCACGCCTCGTGTTCAACGGATCTGAACGCACCCGTGGGCTTCCGCAGAATTCTACTGGCACTATGCATTCAGCAAAAAACATTCAGCGATTCTATATGGGAGGCATAAGGTACATCAATAACTCCACCTAATAATCGCTCGAGCGTAGAGACTGCAGAATTTATATGAGAAGCGTTACACCTAGGGGTAAAAAGCTAAACTTGCATGTGGATGGAAGCAGAAATATTGAAGCGTTGAAGGCAGTCAAACAGAAAGGATGCATTGCCATCTCAAACGGCGGCTCATCGGAAAAAAAATGAGCCCAGTTAAAACGTTCGAGGCATCTCACATGAGAGAACGATCTCACGAAACGAAATGATGGAAAATGAAAATGAACATGAATTCACGATGAAACAGCTGAGTCAAAACAAAACACACAATTAAAATATCTATATAAATAGATAAATTAATAAAACATTCATGAGGAGGAAGGAAGGTTTTCATGTGGTTTTATACATCATGAGAGAGAGAGTATTGTTGTTTACATCCATATAAACGTAAACAAACACTGGACAGCCAAGAAACTTTATGTCAGTTAAGCGGGCGTGTGGGGGATTGTGGGAAATCCAGGGAGCACAGGATCGTGACTCGGTGAACATGCAAGTGAAAGAGACCGAGTGACCTGAATTCTGTTATTGGCAAAGAACGGCCAGAAATTGGCAACAAAAGTAGTTGTTGGGATTTGGTCAATTTTCCACCAAATATTGGCAG